GATTGAGTGGTGTTGGTGTCGAGATTGACGAGATGGCACATCCAGGACACATCATCCCCCCGGCGAGAGTATTGGCAGTACTGGTAGCAATGTAAGTACCTCGATCATTTGTTTCCAATATTAGTTGGCCCCATAGTTAGGGATCAGCACTCAATTTGAACGCTGCTAATCTCGTGCTAGGCCCTTCCGGCAACTTTAAGTTATCCAGGGATGAGGTTAGGTGATGTACTAATGAAGGGGCGTGTCACACGTTACCCTGGTAGGGATTGATGTTAGTAATGTTGAAGCTCTTGATCTGAAGCACTTTGTTTTTGCTCATGATTGATTTTTTTTCAAATATTTTTTCACACTTGACTCACTTCACTTTAACCACGTTTGTTTAATTTCCTGATTCCTTAAACACGTACACTCGTTTTGATTTGTTCCACTTTGTACACATATAACTTTTTTCTTTATTTAATCAAATTGTATTTTTTCCTTATTCACACCCTCGTCATTTGTTTGCTGCAACTTCTCTTTGGTCAGATCACCTCTCGCATTGCCACTACGACCCCCAAATAATCTGAACCTCACAGCTCTTCATAGCCCACAAGGGAACGTAGCTAGAGGTGTAGCCCATCACGGAGAAGTCAGCAGCCCCAGCAGATAGGGGGCATCGTGCTATTTCCCGTGGTACAAAGGTAGGAAGGATCACCCTACCGTGACAAGGGTGGAGGCCGCAAGCTACTCCGTGACATATGGTGGAGGCGCCTTGTCTCGAGTCCCGAAGTCGGTAGGTAATTCAGAAATAGGTCAACTGTAGTTTCTCATATTTTTATTTTCTTATCTTTCTTCTCAGTTTTTGAACAATTTGAAGAAATAGTATTATCAAATGTTCAGGGAATGTAGGTGATATAATTAACAAGAATAGGAAAAAGCGTGCTTGTGCTGTCAATGACGGGTTACCTATTCAACTCCCTAGTGAGTTGATAGTCAACAAATGTCATAACACATAAACAAGCTGTTTTTTCGCACCTTTTTTTTATATACGGGTGGTGTAAAAAGAGAGGAGAAATATGTGCTTGTGCGGTATATGACGGGTTTTCTTTTCAACTCTCAAAATAGAGTTAATATACAACAAATGTCAGAACTCATCATCAGGCTGATTTTTTATCTACTTTGAGCATCAACCACGCCTATATTGATGACAAAAGAGTACCTGTCTGATAAACGGCTGGCTCACTATTCAACCCCTGAGTATGAGTTGATAGTTAGCAAGTGCCTGTGCTGATATAGGGCTGGCTTGTCATTTCATTTTATTTTGTTTCTCCTTCTCTCGCAAATAAACGAAAGGAGGTACTCAAATTCAATCAAAGCCTCATATTATCAATGTCATGCCACGCCAGGAAAGCGTCAGCAAATTTTTGCTAAAAGATACAAAGCATCCATAGCAAATGAGCAGGCACAAAACACCCCCCTATGGTAAAAAATTTAGTGGTAAAAATACCATTAACGTTACTCATTGGGAGTACGAGAAAATATCTGACTTTTGAGGAGAGGATGCAGATAAAATTCAGAGAACTTTTTGGAGAGGAATGATAGGTGTGAAGATTTGATAATTTTTCAAATTTTCTTGTTTATTCATTCCTGGATGACAGAATATTGTATATACAACCTTGTTTGAGAATTTTATTCAGCTTGAATTAACCCATGGTAACTCTATTATATCTCGAGTGAATGTATCGAAACCTAATTTTTGATAAATCTAAAAGTTACGTTACCACCCTGATGTTACCTACCCTACCCTAACGTAACCAAAGTATTGTTTGTCTTATAGAAAGTTGTATATAGAAGAATTTATAAATAATGTTGAATATATATCTCTTTCACAGTCAACGGAACAAGTAGGCGGGAAAACTACCACTAGTACCACCCGGCACTCACTACCTCTCATTGATATTCAGAACAATAACAATTTTCAGCGAAAACCTTTCTCTTATAAAAATTTGTATGGGGACGAGTGTCTCGAAAGTTTGAAAAGCGCCCTGTCCCAAATTGAAAATTCATTTAGATCACGGGTAGTTGAAAATATCAATATTTCATTAACCACCCCGCACGTAGAAGACCTGATTTCCTTCGGAGATGACGAATTACCTGTCATCCCGTACATTGAGAAAGACCTAATTTCTTTCGAGGACGATGGGTAAGTTTCACCACCATCCGAGCTCAGTGACGAAAAAAACCACTGAGGAAAATGAATTAGATTCGGCCTCAAATTGTCTTTCGGAGGAATCCGGATAATCAAAATATACACAAAACGATTCAAATCTGATTTTGACGTCTACTGAGCAGGTCTTGACACAGGGCACCTTGGTTGTAATGAGTCCTAGGAGAATCGGAGAGTTCAACACAGGGGATGAGGTAATGGTGGTGTCCTTGAGGGGTGAAAGGCAAACAAATGTCAAGTGGCTAGGGCCGTATCATATATCAAGAAAAATCGACGATGAAGATTTCGAGATAAATCTGGGACCCATGAGAAATGGTAAAATTGACGTGGTGCATTATAGTAGGATACTACCCTACAACCACCCATGTGCTCCAACCTTTTTGTATTCGAATGAGGAGAAAGACGAAGAATAAGTCTGTTTTTCCCAGCTCCTCACTCCCAGTCACTCGCCATATCATTATCACCCTGTATATATAAATATTATTATTATTTTTTGTTTTTTTCAATTTTTTTTTTGTTGCTCCTGGCAATGCCACTTCATGAAAAACTTTATCAGATTACTAGGGTAATATATTTTCATTCAGAAAAATTTGACTTCATTTCATTAGATCTAGATAATTCTATTCAAATCAGGAGACAATTTCAAAAATCAATATTTCTTATTTATGTTATTTTTGTTCGAGTACTACATTTCAAGTTTCGATTCATCAGCAATGTCAACAATGTTTGAATTTTATTCTGAATAGCAACGAAA